ACCCACTGTCACTGAGTCGATTCCAACTCATAGTGACCCTACAAGACAGAGGAAAGTTCCCAAGGCTGTAATCTTTACGGACGCAGAATGCCCCACCTTACTCCCACTGAGTGGCTGCTGGAACAGCTGGTGGGTTTGAACCACTGATCTTTCAGTTAGCATCCAAGCGCTTAAGCACTGCACCACGAGGGCTCCTTTCCCTAACTAGCTCACCCCCAAACCACCCCGTTCTCCTCGCAGCAGCCAGGGGTGCTTCCCAGAGCAGCCAGTGACGGTGTCGCCGACCACACTTGTCGTTGGGTGCCATGGAGTCGGTTCCGACTCAGCGAGCCCAAGGACAACAGACGGGAACACTGCCCATCCTCACAACTGTTGCCACACGTGAGCATTGTTGCAGCCACTGTGTCAACCACATGGCAAATCCTGGTAATGGCACCCACAACTCCTAGGGTCCAACCTCCCCTCGGATGAGGGATTCCAGGGCCACACAGGCAGCCCCGACTCCTGTCCCAGCCTTCTCGCTCCCGCTCCTCTTTGCTCCCATCACTTTCTGTTCCTCGAATGGAACGTGCTTCCTGGACACATTTCCTGTTTCCTCCCCTCGTCCCCACCAGCCCTCACCCATGCTAATCCTGACGTGGCCTTCATGTGCAGCTCAGACCTCACTCCGCCCTGGACACGTCTGGGCGGGTCGGTGCCAGGAACAGATGCTCCCTGGAGCCCAGAATGTGCCCATCAGAGCCCTGCATGGGGGCAGGGGTCCTGTTTCAGGCTGGCAGCTCGGCTTCCCCGAACCGGCATTTATGAGAGTCTGTCCTACCCAACGCAGAAGCAAATGACGGCTCTAAACGACCATTCGTGACAACAATGACCATGAGAAACGCCAAAAGATTTTTCCTTTTACATGTCTTGGTGGTATTCTCCCTGGACAGAGGAAAAAGGGAAACCCTGAGGATCCGGCTGCCGCCCACGGCCAAGCAGCGAGGGTGTGGTGGAGCCCTTCGCAGCCTGCCAGCCCCTCTGCCTCCTCCCATCAGCTCTCTCCTGTAGTCTGCACACGAGTCCTGAGGGATGGACAGGCATCACTGCCCCCATTTTTCAAACAAGCACAGCAAGGCTCAGTGAAGTAAAGAAGGCCACAGCTGGGACTCAACAGGCTGCCAGTGTTAACCCTGGACGGACGGAGGGTCTCACGACATGGTCTTGAGCACACACGTCCGAACTCTGACCACAATTAACACCAATGAAGGTGCCAGGGCTCATCTCGGCCATGTGAGGCAGGACTTCCGGGCAGGGGGCACCCAGGAATGTGCATTTCAGCCAGTGTCTTAGCTGAGGAGCTCTTGCCTATGCCGGGTTCCCCCATCTGCCTCCACTTCCTGTCTCCCCTTCCCTCCGATTGCAGGCACCTTGAAAGCAAGCCCCCATCGTCCAGCAGGTACCTGGCATTTGGTTTGCATTTGACAACTGTTGTTGTTATGTGCCATCGAATCGGACCCGACTTATAGCGACCCCCATGCAGCATCACTACGGAAATAGATTGCCCAACCTTCCTTCCGAGGAGTGGCTGGTGAAATTGAACCACCAGCCTTCGGGTTAGCAGTCAAATGCCTTAGGCACTATGCTACCAGAGCGCCCATTTGACACCTAGGAATTTCCACATCCCAGCCACGGGACCTTCTCTCTTCCCCAACTCAGGTGACTCGGGAAAATGCAGCAGTTTAGGGAATCACTGTGCACAGGCCTATGGAGAAGAAAGGGCCCCCAGGTCAGGGGGCGTGATGGAGAGGGAGGGTGCCCCACCTGGTGCAGGGTGTCTGCCTTGTCCGTGTGCTTCTGCCGGCTGCGCTGGGCGGCCGCCCGGTTCTTCTGCTTCCTCTTCAGCTGCCTCTGGCACTCCTTGGGGTCCTGTGGGGCGTGAGGCAGAGAGCTCAGGGGTCGGCCATTTGTAAAGCCCTGCCCTTCCCCTGACCTGGGAGAGGGGCCTCAAGACCTCCAGGGTTCCCCTCTCCCAGAAGCCCTCTCTGCTGCCCCAGCAACCACACACCCCATCGCAGGCTTGGCCACCTCGTGCTAACACTGGCCTCCCCACACATCCTGCTCACAGCTCACTTGGGGACAGTGACGAGTGAACAAGTGGGTTTAACTAAATGCATGGAGCCTGGGCTTTGAACCCAGACAGGGTGACTTCCATTCTGACATTCTCTCCTACAAGCCATGTGGCCCTGGGCAAGTCCCTCACTAGGAACCCCAGCCGTTTCCTCTGTGAAGCCCGAGGGCTGTAGCACTTTCCTCACAGCTGGGCAGCAGAGGGGACAGGGCAGCCCAGAGCTGACAGTGTCTAAGTGTCAGCCACTCTTACTGCCACTGGGTGCTGTTATTTCCAGTCAAGTGACTGACTTTCCGGACCATGACCTCCATTAGAGCAGGCCTGGTGTCTGATTCCACATCCCTGTGCCCCATCAGACCCAAAGCTGGTATCCACTCACTCAACAAATATTTATTGAGCACCTACTATGTGCCAGACACTGAGCTAGGGTGATCTAGCAGTGACCAAAACAGGCAAAATTCCCTGACCTCTAGTTGCCAACATTCCAGTGGGGTAGGAACACTGAATGAATGCATGAATAAATGAATGAATGGAGAGTTCATTCTGACAGAACACCCACAGCCATCGAGTTGATTCCAACTCATATGGAATCCAACCATTGGGTTTGCAAGGCGGTAAATCATTACAGAAGCAGACTGCCTTATCTCTCTACCACAGAGCAGCTGGTGGGTTCGAACTGCTGACCTTTTGGTTGGCAGCTGAGTACTTTAACCACTATGCAACCAGGACTCCTTATTCGTGTATTAAAAAAAAAAAAAAAAAAAAACCCTCCAAACTCACTGCTATCTAGTCAATTCCAACTCATAGTGACCCCATTGCTTTTCTAAGGTAGTCAATCTTTAGGGAAGCAGATTGCCCATCTTCCTTCTGCAGAGCAGCTGGTGGGTTTGAACCACCAACCTTCTGGTTAGCAGTCAAATGCCTTAGGCACTGCACCACTAGAGCTCCTTATTCTGACAGAAGAGGGGCTTAAGGCTTGACAGCTATGATCTCCGCTACACTGGGGTTCAGAAAACTTTGACACATTTAACCCAAATGCCCAGTGCTCTGGAAGGTCAAGAGGGGACATGGGAGACCCCCAGCCCAGCCCCCCTCCCACAGGTCACTCTAAGGGGTGTGTTCTGAGTGTAGGGACATCAAGCAAAGATCCTGCCACCCTGAGTGAGGGTGCTGTATGCCACTCATGGCCACAGCAAGCCCATCCCAGACACAGTGAGGGGGGAGGCAGGACCTGGAGCCTGGCGGGGGGAGACACCCCTGTGAGAAGGAGGTGGGCCTGGGGCAGCTGGGACCTGGGAGAAGGGCCTTCAAAGGGAGCCAGGGCCAGGGGACTTGGGGGAGAAGATGCCTGGGAGGGCAGAGCAGGTAGATTGGGAGTGAGCAGGTGTTCAGGTGCCGAGTCCCAACCTGGAGGCTGGGTCTGCAAACAAACCGGAAGGTGCGGAGGCCCAGAGAGGGTCTGTGTGGAGCCCAAGGTCACACAGCCCATGGTACAAAGCTGGGACTAGGTGCTTCCGACCGCACCCCTTACTGCCTAGGCACTGGGGACCCTCAGGCACAGCCTCCCGGTTACCCCATCCTGGTCCCCAGCACTCACCACCCCAGCCAGCAGCCCGTGGTTCCTGCAGAGGTGCATGGCTTGGTCAGGGAGAGGAGCAGCTCTCTCTGGGTCTGGGGCGTCCCTGACGGTGCTGTGACCTCCCTGTGCCCTCTGGGGCCCAAGGAAGTGGTGGCTTTTAAAACCCCCAGTGGCCACTCCACCCCCAGCCAGCCAAGTTTCAGTTTCTCCTAAAGCAGCCAGCTGCTCAGAATCCCTGGCTCGGGGCTGCTCAGGATTTCCTAACTTGGACCAGGCTTCCGGTCTGGCCCCTTTTTCCTAAAGAGGACTGGGAAGGGTGGCCAGACAGGGGGAGACCGAAAGCCAGGTGTGGAGCAGGTGTTCTGGAGGAGGGAGGGCAGGCTGTGAGGCACAGAGCTGAGAGGATCTCTGGGGGACCCCACTGGGGGGCTGGGAGAGCCTCTGGGTTCTGGGAGGGAGGGCCGGCTTCACTGTGCCCCTCCGGCACTGGGAAGCTGCAGCTTCGAGCAAGTGACTCGTACTCTCCGAACTTTATTTCCTCATCTGTGAAGGATGGGGGGGTTATACCCACTCACAGGCTTGAGGTGGGAACCAAGCCAGCTAATCCAGCCACACCCAAATCCTTCAGCGACCAGTGTTGAGGCATGTTTAGAAAGCAAGCAATGGCCCCAAAAATGTTTCCGTGCCTTTAAGTAGAGAAATAGCTAGATAAATGGTGGTGGTGTCATACTACAAACCATGAAATGGTAGCCAGTGTTATCTCGTGGTAGGAGCCCACTCCCAGCTATGTGCCCTGACACGTAATTCCGCCTCTATGTGCCTCGATTTCCTAATCTGTAAAGTGGGGCTGAAACTGGTTTTGTGGTGAAGATGAAGGGAGTTAAGTTAGCAAAAGCTCCTGAAACCACGTGTTCTGGTTATTTTGTGCTGCTCTAAAACACACCACAAATGGGTGACTTCAGCAAACAGGAGTGTATTTAATCTTACAGTTTTGGAGGCAAGAAGTCCCAGTTCAAAGTGCCAGGCTCTAGGGGCTGGGAGAAAGCCCCTCGACCTTGGGCTTCAGCTCTGCCTCCTGCTCCCGGCCCACTGAAGCTAGAGGCTTCTCCTCACTCAGACAGCTGCTGGCTGCTGAGGCTGACAAACCCAAGGTCAACGAGTGAAAAGGCACAGTCCCGATGTTACCAAACCACACGGCAGGCCATTGATTCAAGTCCAGAGGCAGTCCCCAGATAGGCAGGAACGTGGCAGGCTGCTAAATGAAGACTCAGCTACATGCAGGGTCCAAGCATGCCAAAAAGCAAGAGACCTTAACGTGGCTTCTTATATACGGGGAGCAGACCACATCCTTAAGGCAGCTACTCAGCTGCTCCAGTGGACTCCACCATGGAGTTAATTACCAATCTCATCCTGGGGAATAACCACATCCAGCTGCCCAGCCACTCAGCCAGACCCAGCCAAGTTGACACATAAACTTGACCACCACACCATGCTTGGGGGCAGAATAAGGGGACAAAAATATTTGTGATTGCTTCTGCTAAGGGTAAGGAGCTTGGGTGGCTCTGTGGGTAAGGCGCTGGGCTACTAACCAGAAGGTCAGTGGTTCAAACCCACCAACTGCTCTGCAGGTGGAAGATGAGGCAATTTACTTCCCTAAAGATTTACAGCCTCAAAAAAACAATGCATTGACCCATGTCACTTTAGGTTTGTGTATTTCACTATACATAAATTATATTTCAATAAAATGTATTTAAAACAAATACATAAAGATTTACTGCCTTAGAAACCCAGTAGGGGTCGCTATGAGTCAGAATCAACTCAGTGGCTGTGGTTCTGCCAAGAGTGATGGAGAAACGTGGGAATGGTTAACGGTGATGCCTGAACACCACGACGGACGTAGTGAATGTCCCTGAACGGAGCCGGTGAGATCGTAGAGACGACAGGTGCTCAGTTACCTGTCTACTCACCGACTTAAGAAAACGTGCCGCTGCAATCTGGGGGGGGGGGGGGAGGTCAAAGCTGTGCTGGAAGCCCGAAACATCCAATTGTAAGAAAACAGCAAGCTGCAGCCAGATTTGAACGAAACAATGTAATTTCTGTAACGTTTAACAACATGGACACATACATATGCAATAAAAGTATAAAAATATGAATGGGAATGAGAAACCCCACGTTTGGAGAACGGTGGCTTGGGAAGTGGGACAGCCTGAGGGGGACACACAGGGAGACTTCAGTTGTGTCTATGGCGTTTTGTTGGTCACACTGTAGGAACAGCATTCTTGGTAGTGGCACA